AGGGAGTCTAATTCCCCGTCCCCCCCCCTCCCCCACTCTCTCTCTCTCTCTCTGCTTCTCTAACTTTGATGAAACTCAAGTACATCGCTACCAAGGCAAGGCCTCCTAGGCCTAGGCCTATCGTAATCACGTGACTTAGGATGCACATGTTTTGACGACGTCACACAGAACGTCATGGATTTTTCTGTGTTACTAGAATCTTCGTTGCTAGGATAAATGGGAGCGACAACCTAGCGTCTTTACTGCCGCCGAAACATAATCTACGCCTTTGTTTATTTTTGTACAAAAACAACATTTTCGCCACAGCCAAAATGTCTGTATTTTCAAAGGCTCGCTTTTTAGCGCCTCTGCTCGCTGGGACGAAGAGACAGGCCTTATCAAGCGGGTTGAAAGTCAACTCGTCAAAGACCTTTGGAGTTGGCTCTGGCGTCTGCTGCATGGGTATAGTATGTGCTGGAGCTTTGTATTTAAAAAATCAAAATGAAGAGAGTAGTAAGAGCAGTTTCTGGCCTCAAGGCAAACTCAATTCTATCCTGAAATTTGCTGTACCGACTGTTTATGGAAAAGGAACCAGGGAGGAATTTCTGACCGCACCAGCCACTCCTCCTATAGGAAAGACTGTTAAAAATACATCTCTCTGCCACGATCCGTGCGCTGCTAAGAAAAAGCCTAGAAAGAGTTGTCAAGTTTCGCAATGTAATATTACATCTGAAGCCAAGTGTTACTCGCTATTTTTGTGGATCTCGATTAATCCTTCAGCTAATCCATGTTGCGTTGCTAGAGTAGCGGCAGACATCGAGAGCGCCATTGACTCGGTGACAGAACCATGTGAAGACCCTTCTCAGGAAGTTGTTGCAGGCGTTGGGTTTGGGCCCAATTTTTATTCTCAAGTCATGGGAAAGACCTGCAAGAACTTCTACTACTCTGCACGTAAAGGCGCCAACGGAGAACTTCCGAGCTCCAGCGGAGACGTATTTCTGCACGCCAAATGCAACAACAAAGGGAAGTTGTTTGATTTGTGCAAAAACTACATCTGCAGTTTTCCAGAGGGATCAATCTGCGAGTTCGAAGATGTTTATGGGTGAGTTTTTGCCAAGCTTTTCCTTGATAGAGGGTACCAGTAACCGATGCTTGAGTTTTAATGGGGAAGACTTCCTTATTCCATCCCACCCCCACCTCTAACCCTCAACAAACACAACAAAAAGAGACCTGCTACCCCTATCCCTAACCCTGCCCCTAACCCTACCTCCACTCCTACCCCAACACTAATCCCAACACTAACCCCAACGACCTACCCCTAGCCCAAAACAAACACAATAAAAAGGAGACGTACCCCTACCCCTACCCCTAAACCAAACCCTAACATTTTAATATAAAAAAAAACTCAATAAAGAAAGGGAAGACCTAGATTCTAGATCTAGATTAGATCTAGAAATCTAGATCTAACCCTACCCCCTACCCCCATCCCAACCCAACCCCTAACCTTCATCAAACACAGGGAAAGACCTATCCCCCTAACCCTACCCCGGGCCAGACCCTACTCCTACCCATACCTCTGTCCCAACCCCTACCCATACCGTATCCCAACCCCTACCCCAAAACCTACCCATACCTCTAGGCCTACCCCTATCCCTAAACCTAACCCTAACCCTAACAACTCTCTATTCGGAAGGACTTCCGTAACGAGCGACCACCCCAACCTAGGCAATAAAGAAGGGACTTTTGAGTGGGATATGCAAAAGATAGGGTTTAGTATTAAAATTGGTTGGTCAATAAAGAAAATGAACGTGGATTCGGGATTCGATTTTTCCTGGGGTCCTTCGTCAGTCATTGGTTTTATCGGTTGGGTCTTAAATTGACCTCATTTAATATGGTTGTGGGACACGAAACACATGTAGACTAGATCTAGATCTAGAATCTAGGTAGAAAATGAAATACAGTAAGGGGTGGGGTGGGGTGGGGTAGGTAGCCTAGAAAGTAAAAAAAGTAAACTGATTTTGTGTTACTTTTTTTTCTTTTGCCTTCTTTTGTCTCTTCACCTTTAATGGGTATTATTAGCACAGATAACATCAAAAGCGAACCCTATTGTTGGACTTATTAGGCAATCTTTTGACTACCTTTCTGAGAATATGTTTGTTTTGCTCTACAAGAGTTTGATGAGGCCTTTATTAGAGTATGCACACTGTGTTTGGCTACCCTTTGAAAAAGGACTATGTAGTGAAATCGAGCAAGTTCAAAGGCGGGCTACCAAAATGCTGAGTCACCTCAAAGAAAAGCCTTATTCTGAAAGACTGAAGAAATCAAAGCTTCCATCCTTGGAACATCGTAGGTTATGTTGTGATATAATTGAACCATACAAGTACATCAAAGGCTACTGCATCACTGAAAGACCAGCTTTTACAAAAGCAACAACCACACAACTCCGTGGCAACTCAGAGAAGCTCCAGAAGCACAGAAGCAGATTGTGTGTGAGGGCAAACTTTTTCGAGAATAGGGTTAATATGGAACAAACTCCCCGAGTCAGTGGTGTCAGCCCTAAACGTGGACACATAGAGACGTCTGGACTAATACTAGAAAGATCTCCCAACTATCTACAATCCCACTTGCCGAAACTGATTTGTCTAGCCTTCACACAATGCATAGACATTAATTACCAGATAGTAGACAACTAAATCGTCAATGTCAATTAGTGACTTGTTAACATCTGAAAGCGTTCACAATAATATGGCATGATTAGAAAAATCAGTGGCGTGACCGTTAATCGAACCTGTGAGTGAGGGAAGCAAAATTAAATATGACTTGTAGTCCAGCACCGTTATTCTAAAGCATCCATGAGCTACATCCCGCCAGGGGGGCTCTCGTGGCCTAAGGGTTAAGGTGTTCGCCTCTCATTCAAAGGTCCCGGGTTCGAATCCGGGTAGCGACCGCAAAATTTCCTCTCTAGATCTAGTTATCTACATCTAAAATTGTCTCCTTTCACCTTCTTTCCTGCTGTCTAGAAATGCTCTGTCGTCTGCTTTCGTCTTCACTTTCTGTCACTGCCTCTCACTCCCTTTGCCCCCTCCCCTGGGCTTCTGTCTCTTTCTGCAGCCTTTCTACTGCTACTCCTTGGCTCCTTCTTACTGTTGTCTTTCTCTCAGCCACACCCCTTATCTTCTGGTAGGAAAGATCTATACCAAGATCTAATCTAGATCTAGATTTAGATCTAGCCTTCATGGAAAAGGGCGAAAAATCTCTGAGGTTGCGCAGGTTAAAGATCCCTTGGTGGTCAAAAATCGATAAAAGTAGGCTTCGGCCGCCACCAGGGCAGAATTCAAAATTTCCTAGACCTACCAGCTGAAAATGTTTGGTGTGTCCAGCGCGCAAATATGACCTTATGCAGTTGCGAGGGCCGTAAAACACTTAGATCTAGATCTAGATACAAAAAGAAAAAAAAATGGCCTCACGTATAGCAAGGCTGACCTATCTCCTTTTTCAATTTGGTGTCGGAACTTCAAAACAGTCAGGGTTATCATGAAAATGACAGGGTATTGGATTTGATTTTAAGGCGTTTAAACAATGAATATAATATATTGTGGGGTATTTTTATAGATTCACTCCAGTTTCGCGTCACATCCTCAACCGGAAGTCAGCCCCTTCACCACTTTAGTGCCTTCGGATGACGAATAAGGTCAGGTTTTTTTAAAAGGTGATTTTAGTTAAGGCTTACTTTCAGGCTTTTTTGGGGGTTTATGCTCGCTTTTGTAGTAATTAAATCTAGGGGGGTTTCTGGGGTCTCCCCCTGACGAGCGAGTACGTAATAGCTGTGTAGTACGGTTTGGGGGGGGGGGGGGGGGGGGGGGGGTCAGAGGGGGTCTCTCCCCCCCCCCCTGAAATGATGTGCTGTAACATCTAAAACTAACAATTCGCGGCGTTTTTCAAGCCAAAATCGTGTTCACGGCACTTTAAAACCCACAAAAATCTACAAAGTAATACCATTTAAGAGACGGGAGTGTCTATTAATTTCTATAAAAGTCAGTTGAACCTGCTCTACCGACCACCGGTCTAAGAATGTCCCTTGTACTAATGACCACTTCCCACTTCTCCCTTTTTCATTGCCTTTCTCACCCTGTACCAGGGTATAGGCCACAGACAAACACTTTCCACCTTTCTCTATCCTGGGCTAGCCTCTTGATGATAATCCATGTTTTCCCACTTTTCTGTACATCCATTTCTGTGACTCTTCTCCAGGTTCCATGTGGCCTTCCCCTTGATCTTTTTCCATGTGGATTCCAATCGAACACTTTCTTTGTTATGCAGCTTCCTGACTTCCTGAGAGTATTTCCCACTTGCCTTTTGTATCTTATATAAGGCCACTGTCCAACAGGACAACCTGTCTAAGATGACCACTTCTCTCCTCGACAGTGTATGGTCGTCTTTGACAGATCCGTCTGTACTTTAAATATACTCAGGGTGTCGGTTATAAAACAAGCCATGTTCTAAGACTAAATGCAGCATTTGGTCCTTCAATTCCATTGTCACTGACTGGTAATGTGGTTGGTCAATCTATACCTATTTCTTGGTTCCTTTTTTATGTATCTCTTTTCCACTGTTTATTACTCTCTTGTAACATCTCTAATCTTCGGCTTTTATATGACCTATACTGCGTTGCAAATGTTGAAAAACTCTAACTAAAATTTTTTCCAAAATGTTATCTGTTATGCAGGTTTGACTACCAAAATGGGCGCGATCTCTCTGGCTTTTTGGACAATCGAACAAATCGTTGTGACGAAGAAGGGCTGAAGGACGTGGCCATTGAGTGTGAGACAGGCGGTAGCTATGCCCTCGCCCAGAAGTGGGTGCACGATTTCTGCATCATTCGGCCAGAGAATAAACCAGCACTAGAGAAGTACATTGGCAGGTGGGTTCTTAGTGTCAAGGTATCCCGCTAGATGAGCGCCAGTGGGGAAAAAGTGCACATTTTTTTCTCCAAACGTGCATCATTATCTGTTGGTAGTATGATGAAGTTGTTCATCTTGTTTGGAGAGCTGTTGACTCTTGTCAATTTTTCCGCAACTTGAAATTCGCCCAGCAACTTATACAAAGGCCACATCTTTAGGCTTTGTGTTGAATCACTCAAATAAACTATTAAGGAAAAGGAAGTACTGAGATAGGTAAAGGCCAATGTTACACGTTTCATTTCTTTTGTTATTTGATTTTGATATAAGTAACTAAGTAGCTGGGCGATGTGGTGAGAAAAACACAGAAAAAAAGGGTGGGGGTGAGGGTGGGAAAGCTAAAAAAAAAGAAACATTTGTCAAATTGGAAATTACTAAGGGTCTCGCAGTTCAGTAAAAAATGGACTTGGGTGATGAACATTCTTCACAGTTACCTCGATATAAAAGGATCTGGGATAATACTATTATCTTGAGAGGGTTATGAAAACATTTACTGTAAGAACGATAAGGGGAATCTTTCGTATACGATGATGCTGAAGAAGACTTAGTAGCACGTTAAAATTGAAAGGAAAGTCGTTGCAAGCAGTAAATTATACATGCAATCAACAGAGACATGGACTGCGGCAAAGAGCTCAAATGCAAAGGACCCTCCTCGCACGTGGCTCGCATGACAGGCACCACAGAGCAGAACGCCACTCCACAGTACGAGATTGTGCGCCAGTCCCAGAACTACGGGAGCCTCGCCAACGATGCTGGTAGGTCTCTTCTGATTTTTTGTTTTAGTAAGAGTTTTACGGCATTTCCAACACAATTAGATCAATTAAGTGCCAAAGATTAGAGGTGTTACAAGAGAGTAACCAAAGAGATAGATAGATAGATAGATAGATAGATAGATAGATAGATAGAGAGATAGATCGATCGATAGATAGAT